TAGCTTTGCGCGAAATTCAAACCAAACAAACAAACCTCTCTTACTTTCGCTAATCTTTGGTTTTTAGTTTTTTTAAATTAAAAACAACTACAACTGGCTTTTTGATATCTCTGTTGTGTGGCCACATTGCAGGTGTTCATGCACACTGATTAGTCGCTTTATTAGAATCTTCTCACACATATTTATAGAATACTCCATTTATTTGATTAATCAAAACAAATTGATCAAGTGATGTGTGGAGTTATTCCTTGAGCCCCATATTTGCATGTACCTGTAATCATAACGTTATTGATTAGCAATACCATGGGTAACAGTAAGCATCTCTCCAATATTCAAAGTGAAATATAGCTCGTGACATGACAGAAGGAAAAGATGATTGTATAGCTAGTTACGTGCAAAAGGGGTCAGACTGCCACTCAGTTAACTGATTCCTTTTACAAAAGTCAACATTCGACTATCTCAATAGTACTATGCAACGAACATTACATAAAGTACACTAAGTCAACTAAAAACAGTTCATAAACTACTTATCTATAATGCAAACAAGGAAGCATGGTTTCAGTTATTCTTAAAATGCAAAGTGTGGATAGTAAATAACTGAAAGGGTATGATGTAATCGGATAAATTCACACATTGCGTTACTGACGGCAAAGTAGGCTATGGAGAAAACACACGAGGTATTTGTCCCGGAAATGCTGAAATAGAACGGGTAATGTTCTCGTGGCAAATATTTTTTTCTCTCTCTAAAAAGGATGAGTTACATTCAGAGTACACAAAAACGTTGTTGTTGATGAAGTACATCCCCACAATACTGAAATTATATCTTGATAGAAAGTGCCACCCAGTGGCAGAACGGTATATCTGTGGACCTATACTGCTAGAAACCGGATTTCGATACCCGTGGTGGTCAGAGAACATATATACCTTTGTACAGCTTTGTGCTTATTAACAAAGAACAACAATAACTTGATGGAAAATTTCTTCCAAAATAATAATGCAACCATTCACGCACTCATATTGCCCGAAAATTCGAAGAGCAGAACAGTGATTCCAAACATCTTTATTGGCCAGCACATTATTTGGACCCCAATCCAATGGAATACCTCTGAGATAAACAACATTTCAATCTACACAGTAATCCTCTGTGAACAAATTGCAGACATACACCTTGACAAATGGTACAAATCAAAGAAAACATCTTCTTGCATTTTGTGAACTTCGTACCCTTCTGAATCCAGTATTACTATTATGACAAAAGATAACTCATATAACACAAGGACAGCACTAAACATTTTATTTTGCATTAGTACTATAAGAGCTTGGTAAAAAACGATAATTGAAACTGTAGAGTTAAATCTTGAAGCTTAATACAAATAAAATATTTATAAAATACAAAAATATTTTCAGCAACAAATTAAATCATTAAGTTTAGTAACTCAAACTCCAAAAATAAATACATTTCTCCAATGTCCTATTCATCAACTGAAATGTATGTTGACTAAACGTTTGTATAACTAATGGCATGTTATCTTTCTTTAACCATAGAAGCTAAAATTGAGGCTCTTGTCTATATATTCATTAATTTAACAGGTAACTAATGTATAATGAATCATATCCCCTACAGATTATTCTTCATCGAGATGGTTAGTTTCTCTTGTTCAAAATCATGAACTGTTTTGAAGGTTTAATCAACATTGGGTCGTCTACGTTGAAATTAGTATGTTTATTGCTAAAGCTCTGAAATATGTGTACTAATAAACAGGGCTGTCGAGAGCCAGCCCAGGCCCCGGGGTCAGTAATATCATTGGGCCCCCCCTTTCATTCTATGTATTAACTTTTGTTGATTTTTCATAAAAGAAATTTAAGTGACAAATCTCTTTATGAAAAATCAGTAACCATTTTAGCTTCACCCCCCCCTCTCGTCAGCCCTGTTAATAAATAAAACACTAGGCAAACCTCAAAAGTGTGAAAAGCCACTGGCTGAATTATAATTCAGTGTGGTATATCATAATCAATCTCATTTGATCCCAACGTTTAAAAAATTAAGCAAAAGGCCAAGTTGATAGTTAAACATTTTAATTCTTTCTATTACTAAAACTGTTGCAGCCCTCTCCATTGTGTAATTATAATTTAGTAAACTGGAGATGAAAAATGTCCACTCTTGTTCTCGATTTTTACATCAGTATTCATCCTGTTAATAATAACATTTCAATGGACTTAATGTGCAGTTTCTAAATGGCACACCTAAGTTTATGAAATTAGTCAGATAAAACTATATAGCCTACGAGGATCTATTCTAAAATAGTTTCATATCATCATGCCATTTCAGAAACTTTCTGAAGTGCCCACAGTAAATGGATTATAGCTTATTGCCAATAACTGAAATGATATTAAAGACAACCTTAAAAACTTAAAACTACCAATTTGAGACTAATAATGGCAAAAAAAACACTACAGTAACAAGTAATGTTGCTAAACAACCTCTCCATGAACGAATCACGATCTTTGATCTTCTGAATGTATGAGAAGTAATTAAATAAATAAATTGAGGTTTAAGCTCTTTAAATACCACTCTACCCTTAACAGAATAATACATTAAAGCACTGTTCAAGATTCTTAAATATTCTAAATAGCTTATTTCTGAAAATTTATAGCACTTCTTACAGATAGGCATGTCATTGCAGATATGTAAAGAAAACAGTTCATACACTTACAAATGTAACTGGATGATCTAACAAGATATTTGTTATTTATAACTTGTCTGCACGTGATAAATTCTCTTCTACTGAAATTTACCATTGGAGAAAGAAAATCTTCTAATAACTGAAAACTCTACACACCCAGTTAGTTGGTAAAAAGTTCATGGTTATCAAAAGGTTTTTATATCATATTTGTAAATTTTCAAAAACATTAACACTTTACAACCTGTTTAGCAAGTAGTGTATAGAATAGAATCACAAAAAAATTGATAGAAAACAATCAGAGACCATAAAATTTGTTTCATTTTGATTTATTAAGTTTTAGTGAGCATTAGTTTAAAAGAATATACAATTTTAACTAAAAACCAGGTGTGTCAAAAGTCATTTTTGCATTTCAGATGACTGAATTCAGCAAACTGAAGGATAGATGTTTGTTTAACTCAGTACATAGACCAATTGGACCATGAAGAAAACAACGTACACATTGCATTGACTTGTTCAAAACTCCTTCAATATGACTTTGGATGATGCCTTTTATACCTTTAAAGTACAATGCAGTATCATTATTACAAACCATACTCCTATGTTGATTAGTCTACCAATGAATTTCATAGCACTGTGTCAACAGGATTCCTGGATACACTAACTTGAACAGTGGAAGTGACTTTTGAAACAGCTAGTACATAACAATATGAAAAATAAAACCTCATTATCTTTTCTTTGTCTGGCTAGAATTATTACTGTTCATAAAAATGTCTATTTTAACTGTTTAGTTTTTAGAATATTTCTAGTACTTTAACTTAAGTTTCATGAGGAATGACAAAATCTTTATTTACAATTTTAAATTTCAAATGCAAATAAGTTTTACATTTATATTTTATGCAAAAAGCACACAAAATGATCAATGTCAAATTTTATCTTAAGTAAAAAAAGTTCTAAATATGACATAGTGAATTACATCAATAAAATATCTCATGCAATATTATGAAATATATTATTTAGTCTTTAAATTAGATTTAACTTTAGTAATGCCAATAGGAAAACGTTCTGTATTTAAATTTAAAAATTGATTTGAAAAATGTGTTTAAACCACTTTAGTAACTGGGTGGAGGGGTGGTATTTTCCCCAAAATATGTGCATCTTTTCTTCTACACAAAGATTTTAAGTGATTTATCTTAGCCTAAATGAGACTTGTAAAATGAAAGTATTCAAAACTTATGAGAGCAAAAATAAAGTCAAGTGTTTATTTTATAAAAGTTCCCTTGGAAGGTTAGCAGTAAGCTTACAGACTTCCAATGTTAAAATCCAGGATTCAATTTTCCACAGAGCACAGATAGTCCACTGTGCATCTTTCCTATATAGCAAAACAACAATTTAAAAAAAATCAGAAAATTGTGGACCTTTTAGACTTATTAAAATATTTTTGTAGTCTTTTGACTTTCCCCAGCCCAACCCCCATTTGGTATAACTAAAAACTACATTCAAATTATAAAATAATGGTGCAATATAACAGAGTAATGTCATAAATAAAACCATAATATATTTCTCACAATCCTTTTATTTATTTGAAAAGCTATTCCCAACCAATGTGCGCTAAAAGTTTGAAGATGTTGTTATATTAGTCTTGAGCATCTACAGTGACCAAAATAAGTCAAAATGAAAATCAAGTTAATGGAGTTAGTACAAAATGAGTTTCATTCTGAAATATAAAAATGCAATTACTTTAGGCATCTGAAGCATAATCCTGTACTTAATATCTTTTCAAACACTAGATTTTAAATTTGCATTTTCACTTTTCCCAAATTATTAGTTTTTAACAAAAAGACTAGGATTACAATATGCAAAACTTTATTTTTTCAAATCCAACATGTTCCACAAAATACCTAAAAATAACTTGTTAAACAACTAAATTCTGTCTCATTTAATGACAGTATAACAAAAAACACAGTTTGTGAATATAAATAAAACAATGTTTTATTTATGTTTTTGCACAAAAATCCAGAGGCAATATGTAACTTTTCTCTACTGTACAATAGAAATGTTTTTAGAATTATCCAATGAGCTCTGCTGTGAAGCAAAACCTGGATATTACTAATTAAACTAGAATACATTAAACTAGATATAACATATTAGCTTTGAAAACATGTTCACAAAGCACCACTACTACGTGTTATATATTGCCCAGCCAATATTTTTTCTTGGGCTTCAATACATAATAAATTTCATATTTTGGAAACCTTCAAGAACACTCACTATTCATTTTTCAAAATCAGTTTGAAAAAAAGAAACATTTAAAGAAAAGAAACCAGGTCAACAATCAATTGTTGTTAATGTAAGTTTTTTAATATTTTCAGTTATATGAAGCTACTGTTGGTGCTTGAGGTATATTGATATCTGAACCAAAATTACTATTATTACTCTTCAATATAAAACTTTTTTGCATCACAATTAATTTAATATTCAATTTCTTCAACATAAGTGGATGGAAACAGCCCAACAACCCCATTAAGTTCACCTTCCCACCAATCATCATCACTCTTCCTTTTCACACATATTATGTCACCTACAGAAAGGCATGAAAAAAATTTACAAATAATGCATTATTCTAACTTAGAAAACCATAAATGCACAAATCACCATCTTTTATATTTTAAAGGAACATATATACTTTCATGAATCTTTCATTCCTTCTTTCCTTTTAATATAGATAAGCAACTAATCATTTAAACTTAAATTTCCATTTTGTACAAGACTAACATTTAATGTCAAATAGTTAATGTTCTTCCATTTATATTTTACTGCAACATGATGATATTGTATATTTTTCTTTGACCTTAATATACTCTTATTAATTCTGGATTATACTTTTTCAAATAGCACTGTAAAGCAAAACCTGCATCTGTTTCTATATTTTATACATAGTTGTCACAATCCTTAACATACTAAGTACCATATCTATAAGGAATGCTACTATTGTTTGTATCTAATTTTGTAATAAATTATATAACTTCATTTTTATAGTAGTTTGTCCATACAAAAGTAAAATATTACAGAATGAAATTTATTATTAATTAGAATAATTTAAATCCAAAATTTCCCATAATCTTCATTACCACGTTAAAAGTTTAAAATTTTTGCTAATTGTTTGTTAATACACCATTTAGAATTGCAATATTATAATGATTGATTTTAAAAAGTGTTCACATATTTATATTTTAATTAGATATATTGTAATAATTATGACAATATAAAATTCACAAAATAAATAGAATTCTTGTGAACTCAGTTTTATCAGTTTGTAAAACTGTTTTAGTATGACTTGCTACTTAGTCAAAGATATGATTTTTGCATGTCATGTTCTAATTTCAAGTTCTTATCAGAATAGTTGTTTTGCATCCTGGTTTCAATACAGTATGATTTATTACTAACCTGAATGAAGTGTTAATTCATCACTTAGGTTTGCCTGGTAAGTGTATATGGCTCGACAGTATTGAAGAGTCTTTGTACTGGAAGGTTTGCTTAATTCTGAAGCTGGATGCTGAACTGAACTGTACACAGATGAAGAATCTGAAAAACATTTATAATTATAGAATTGCAAATTTCTATTTAAAATGAAAAAGCTATTTTGACTGAATTTTTCTCCCTATAATCAAAGGTTTAATCTATTGTTTGGTTGTATTTTGTTAGTGACTGCAAGAAATATACTATCCCTGGAATACTTGTATGTATTTATCTATTGATACTAGTTTCACTGAGACAGTACACATCAATACAAGTTATTCTCCTTATGCCTCTGTTATACAGGGATTTTACAATAAGCTCTGTATATTTTAATACCAGCTTGTAATAAAAAAAAAATAATAATTGTAATATTATATTTGCTACACAATGGTTCAGAGGTAAGTCTACCGTGGATCTGGTAGCAATGAACTCTTCTTTAAGAGAAAGAAGAATATGTGTATTCCTAAATGCACATTTTCAATTTTTGTTTTCAAACCATTCAATAAGTTAACAAGAAGTGCCCAACTGTTTTAAATAAACTAAATTAAATACAAGTTACTGTGGTTTCATCACAATTTCTATATGTGAAACACAAAATATCTCAAGATGTGCATATATAGAAATCCAACATCATAAATATTTTGTTTCTAAATTTCAGAATTGTGTGCTTAGGAGAAAGTTTATTGTATAGCTTTAGACTCACCTAACTGTTCATGTATGACAGATACACCATCAGCCATGCCACGGTCAAGCCCGAGTGAATCGCTACAAGATGACCAACTTCCAGATGAATTTCTCCTTTCTAGTTGTGGCCATTCTGGCAGTTTTAGTAAGGTTTGTATTGTACCCTTAAACATAAAATAACATTATTTGATAATATATTTTTTAGAAAGTATACATGTATCTTAAAAGAAATAATTGCCTAAATAAGTGAAGTTTTTGTTAACTACTACAACATTACCAGCCAAAAAAAAAGGTAAGTATATATATATATATTAAAGCATAACTTGTTGTTTCTATATATATTAACAGGATAGACTGAGGATGCTTATAGAAGAATGTATTTTTGTATGTAAAAGAAAATTAAGTATACATATTTAAATAATATTTATAATTTATTTTATTACATGAAAGTAGGTCAGTGCACCTTCTTCACAAAATGATATACAATATGTGGCTATCTTCATTATAAAAGGCAATATATATATATATATTGACCATTTTCTCAAAGATGGTAAATTTAACTTATAATGTATTGTAATTTAAACAGATATATACTCATAATTAACTTCTTCCCTGGTGCCTCAGTGGTAAGTCTGTGGGATTAAAACATTAAAAATTGGGTTTTGATACCCACTGTTGGGAGAGCACAGATAATCCATTGTGTAGCTTTGTGTTTAACAACAAACAAACAAAACTAGTTATTTTCTGGTACTTCAGTAAACTTCTTAATATTACATATATATATATATATGCAGCTTTTTTAAAGATATTTAAGTCACAAATAGTCACACACATAAACACAAGATAATTAAACTGACCCAAATAAACCTCCCACACCACTACAGGCTGTCTTACTACAGATGGAAAAGTTGACTTTACTGTATTTTTTATCTAAAACAATGTTGAAAGAGAAAATAATTTACTGATTTTATCACCATAATAATCTTTGATTAAAATTAAACAATCTATTGCATAGATTTGTTGATTCAGTTGCAGTTTATGTCAAACAATTACAAGAATCTTGAGAATATAAAGGACTTATTTTGATAATTCAGAAAAACTAGAATAAAATCAACAAGCTTACATGATAACACTAGCTGTTTCTTATGAATTAATCAATTTAGGTTTAATAGAAAACTGAATTTTAATAATATTCTGTGAATGGATCCAGTAATCCATATAGAAAAGTTTTGCAAATAACTTATCAAAGCTAAAAAATATTATTTTAGAGTATTAAGTTACCTGCTTATCTTTATATTGATGCAATGTAATAGAGAGTGGACTGACTGGACGAACCACTCCTTCTAGATCGGCCAAATCACACTGAATTTTATACCGAGTTGCTTCCAAAAACAACTGCAAAGCTTCAATCTGAAACATTTCACGGAAAATTTACATACTTAAATCTAATAATGAGGCACTGAAGTTAAAAAAGTTTATAAAAAAAATCAAACTCGCAAATTACCAATAGTATCATTGACTAATATCCTACCAAATTTATGTGACCTTTATCCATAAACTTAGTTTTAAAATTTTTTAAATTTTGTCTCTTCACAAGCATTTTACCATTTGTCAATTATTTGGTGAATATAGCCATTATTCTGTTGTAAAATATTAATTGTTAGGTGTTGAAGAAATTAGATACTTAGCCCAGTCCACCAAACTTTTAATTAAATTGTATGCAGGCAAGAAAACAAGAGGTTTGACAGAAAATGTTTTACAGCTTGAGTTAAACTGGATTCTTTTAGATCTGACCGAGTTTTGAGTAAAGAAAGAGACTGGACACAATGTAAAGTACACTAAAAACAATCTTTATTTAACATGCAAACTTTATCAAAATTGACACATGCACAGGACAAAAGACAGCTCCTTTACTGGATCATTAACTCTCTAAACTTTCCTTAGAACTTAAGAGGTTTATGAAGAACTTACTATCTCTAGAACTTTACTTACTTGAGGGAGAGAAAGAACGAGTGAGAGAGCATTGTATTATATCCAAAGTTTTATAATGTATAATGCCATTCCTCTTAAGGTGTGCACTACTACATCATTGTCGGTTATTCCAACATAAAAATAAGGAATTATGTAGCCTCAAGGTATCACTTGACCAACCAGTGAAAAAGATCGCTGCCCATTTTTACGTTGTATATTATAATTTATAGTAATCTTTCTCATGAGAAGCCCAAGTGGTACCAAAAATGAATGACCTAGAACAATAGGTAACTAATGCAAAAGTATCTTAGCTACTTCTTTGACCAATGTTCTACCTTAACCTACATGCACTTGTAGGCATGAAAATTTTAGGTGAACTTTTAATAATTTACATGAGTAAGTAAAGAAGACCATACCTAGTACGTCTGCATACTATACTGGTCTAACCTTATGTTAACATTCTATGTGAAGTTTATAATTTTATGCAGGTTAGAAATTATTAAAGTTTAAACATTTTAGAGCATACCAATAGCAGATATTTCCTTTTCAATGAAGCAACAAAGGTAGCTTAGTATACATGAAGGCACAATACCAATGGTTTGAGGGCTCATTTTTGTATACATTTTACTACAGGTTTAAAACAAAACCTAAACTTACATGTTGAAGTTTCTCACTGACATGATCTTGTGTTCCATCACTAACTAAAGGTGTGTGATCCTCATTAAAAACTCTAACCAAGTCTTCTAATCCTAAAGCAAGAGAAGAATTATTATTATTTTTTGTCTTGTATTTAAGAGAAACTGTTAGTAAAGAGATGATCTTCAACGAGCATTTCATTACATTCAATATTCAGCATATTACAGTTAACAACAAGCATTCCTATTTCCAACATAGATATCTTTACAAAAGTGATAAATCTTACAACTTAAAAGACAAATTAAACTTCATTTATATTTCATAATCATCAATACAGAAAACTTTTCAACAAGTTTGTTGACACCAAGCATAACATAAAAATTACTGATATATTTCTAGATGGATATGTAAATGATTTTTTCAAAGAAAAATACACATATGAAGATTGTTAAATATTACAAGACCAAATAACACAGCTTTCCAAAGAAGAGATCTTCACTTTTTCCCTGATAAGGCAGATTAACTTGTATACTAGAGTTTTAGGACAGCAACTGGCTTTGAAACCACACTTGAAATTATGGTATTTAAGTACACTTATGTCCTACAGAAAGTTATAAGTATTTGTAAAACACATGTTATGAAAATGTTGAGCGTAGAATGATAAATGAACTTGGGCACAAACACACAACATTTTTTATTTATACAATAACATATGTAAATTGCACCACTTAGTAGACAGCTTCAGAATTTTCCAATGTAACTCTTACTAGCTTATGAAGCAGAGAGAAGGTTTAGGACATGAATGCAAAGGATAAGGATAAAAAAAATGTCTCGTTGATAAGTAGACAAGTCCTAGTAAAATATCCCACAATCCTAAATTACCTGTGTCAATAATCAATATAAATAAACATATACAAGGGAAAGAATCACCAACCCATACAAGCTTTTACAAGTATCACCCCTTGAAATAAGCATAATCTCACTCCAGAAAGCTGACACAGAATTACAACCAAGCATCCAACAACCAAAAAAATCATTGTAATGTAGCTGATCTATCTTCTGGTACCATTAACAATACACAAGAACAGAAAATGAAAAAGGCTCTGACAGCCTAAAGTTCACAGTTTCTAGCCACACCTCAAAATCAGTGGGATTTTTCATGTTATTTGCAGAGCTTATAGCTTGCCTGTCAGGCATTAGTGTACCTGAATACCTTACAAAATCCTTTCTATAAATACCATTCCAATGTTTCAAATTAGACATAAATTATAGAAAAGATGGATAGAAATGCCAGATATCTATGCCTAGTATGTCAATAAATATATATCAACAGTTCAAAGAAACATTTTATCAGTAGCTACCGGCTACTATCCTACAAAAGTGACAAAAGGAGTGAAACTTTTATATTGTCTGAAGATTGTCAATCTGACCCTCCTGAATGGACTCTAAAGAGGCTTACAAAATTAAAAAACAACAACTAAGATACAATAAAAGTGAACCTAAAAGAGAATAACACATTAACATTAAAATAGAATTTCTTGAGTTCTAATTAATAATGACACTTAACATAAATTAGTAACTAAAACCTCTATCTCCTCAAACTAAACTTATAAACTACTGGCTTTACTATGTTCTTTCTTCAAGTCATGAGAAAAAAAAAGTTAAACCAAAGTCATCTAAACAAGTATATTACAACTTTACGAGTAACAGAATGATGAACTGTGATTGTTCAGAAGCGGTTTTTCATTAATCAAAAGACTTTAAAATATTCCAAGTTCTTCATTTTAAGTTCTGCTTGCAATGTTGAACCAACAAAAAATTATATCAGTGTTTGAAACTGTTGATACTTGATTAGCAATGCTGGAGGTGTTGTTAATTCTTGACAGTAAATGTTCTTTTTACATGTGGAAGACTACTGGTAGATTCCACAAATTCTGTGTTACAGCATGCATATGTAACTTTATGTAACTAATAAAACAACTATAATGCAATTTTGGAAACAAAATTAAAACAAGTGTTTAATGCTTATAGCCAATCTGAAGATGTATATTAACTGAGCTTGTGTACACTTATATTCAACTAATTTCATTAATTTACTTTTGAATCTAACAGCATGTTCTCTGGTATAAGACATTAATAAATTATATCATAAAGTTGAAACACATCTTAATTTATCAAATTAGAAAAGTGAACTTTTAAGATCTTTTTGTATACATCTATATATGACAAAATTAGGGAACTAACTTTTTTACAAAAATTCCTTAATTTTCTATACTTCTGTGTGAAACAATTTAAAACTATTAAATACCATAGGTCCACATAACAATTCTTCATCAAATTACAAGCAAATGCTTTAGTAACAAAACTGCTCTAATGTGTGTACAATTCTGTAAAGATAGGCTTATGATTATTTCCAATAATGAAACTTCTACTGTTGTCATAAACAACAGCTTCAACAAAAAACGTAACAAACATTGAAACTGATGTTGTATATTAGATTTCACATTAGTAATATATTTTGTCATAAGGTTGTTTAAAAGTAACTACATTCATCCAATGTTGTTTTTCAGTAAAAAACTCCAATTTTCAAAAATTAATTTTGTTAAACCATTAACACCATCAAAAGAAGCAAACACTTTGTCACAAGAAACCCATTGTTGTTTTTGTTTGTTTGTTTACTTCTTAATCAAAACGCTAAATGATGGGCTACCTGTGCTCTGTCCACTATGAGTATCAATACCCAATTTGTAGCATCATAAGTCTTCAGACTTAAAGCTGAGCCACTGGGAGGGGGAGTTGTTTCTTGTAAAAGGTAAATTAATGTATAAGAACTTGGCATCAAAAACTAGCTGGAATTACAAAATTGATCAAAATTTAAATATTTTAAGCATATTGAAACCTAAAAACTATTTTTTGCTGTATATTTAAATAGTATGTCTAAGTGGCATAATTTCATATGTTTGTTATGCAACTTAGCTTATATTTTAATTCAGTCAAAGTATATTTATGTTTCAGAAATCTGTGTTCACAATTTAATTTGCAGTACATATGGTAAATACAATGTCCATCAATACACATGATACCAGATTAAGTATGCACCCCTAACTGAACTTTTCCATGAATGATTAATTAAAAGCAACAGAACTCTTACCAAACCTGGATTTTATAGTGACACATTCTGTATTGCAAAGAAGTAAATAAATGTTTGTTTTGTAAGAGACAGCTTGCAAAATAAACACTCTGATTGTTGATTTAGCTTTCTTTTGTTCTCTTTTTTTAGAAGTTTGGCTGAAAAGAAATTTTGTATATCACAAAAGTACTACTCTATTGTATTAATGTTAATATTTTAAAGTTTTTATTTTTTCTTTATGTATAAAACCCTTTTGTATTGCTGGTTTACAAGAAATTATACTTCATATTTATACCTTGTTTTCCTTTCTTTTCTAGTTCCAAGTCTTGTTTCAACAAATTTAATATTCTTTCTAATGATTCTTGTCTTCTTTCTTTCTCCATTAGAATGGAAAAATCTTCTGCCTAAAGAAGAACAAATATAATTATAACTACAGTAAAATACAACACAAGTTCCAACTTATAGTCACATATAACAAATATATTGATATTTATATCCTTAACTAATATCTGTGCATATTTATTCCATCAAATTCAATGCCTAACTATTGTGGTATACTCTAGTAAAACTGGGTTAACTTAGAGCAATGGGATAGATCTGCCTAACAGCAATAGGTTCAACAAGGTATTTAGAACAAAGTAATTCTGAGATTTCTGATTTTCACTGAGTTTGAGAAAGAAAGAGATAGGACATAAATGTACAATAAAACAATATTTATGCAAACTCACAAACATAATTACAAATTTGTGTGTACAGGACAAAGGATGACATCTTTGCTGTAGTTATCTCTTTAACCTCTCTTAACTTATTAAGGTGTTTAAGAAGAATTAGTTAAGATTACAGGTTAAACTTTAGGAGAGTATTACTATTTACAAAGAAAGGTCTTAAACTTAATTCAATTACAAAATTGAGGGCTTGAATTTGAAAAGGAAAGAGAACACTATGAGATCAGTGTATTATATACCAAAATATCTATAACACTATATTCTATGGATGTGTGAGCCACCTATGTCATTCTTGGTAAATCCCATCCAAGCATAATGGAGGTCATACCCTCAAAATATCACCTGACTTGCCATTTGAAGACACTACTGTCAACATCCTTGCACAATGTGTAGCATTAAAGCCATTTGTCCATGGACAGAACAGGTGTTATCTCAAGAAAATATCAAAGGAACAAAGGTAGCTAGAACAAAATCAACTTAACAACTTTGTTGACCATGTAACATGTGAAAACTGCACATGTTCAGAAATAAGTGATAAATTTAGAATAATACTACATAAATATATGAAGGAAGAAACTCATGGTATGTTTATATACCACAATACCAAACTCTGTGTACTGTCAGGATACTGTTTTGTAAGATTTTTGCTCATACATGACTTAAAAGCATGTGTTTCTGATGATTTAACAAATTATTCATAACTGTATAAATTCCAACTAAATTAATTCCCTTTCAAGACAACCATGTCATACATATATTTTAATCAAATACAAATTACTTAACTCATCTAAATTTACAACTTATAAGTAAACCTAACTTTTTTTTATACATATCATGCAAGTTTTGGTTAATTTTCGATGATGAGGAACTCACTTTGAGACTAATAATGCTTGGAGACAGCTTGAATGGGTAATGAAGAAAAGCTTTAATATAAGTTTAACATAACAGGAAATGTACAACATTTTGACAAGGTTTTGTCATCATTACAAAACGTTGTCGAAACATTGTACATTTGCTCTTATGTTAAACTTATATTAAAGTTTTTCTTCATTACCCATTCAAACCATTCCCAAGCATTATAAGTTTTAGTTAGCTGGCACATAAAGATGCACATTTTCACAAAAGCACCAAAAATGATACATTATTGTTAACTCCTCTAAGTTTATTAAAAACAAAACTAAATCTTTGATTGTATCAATTTAAACTGTTTCCAAATTTAGGTTTCCTTCAGTACATTTTAAATCTAGTATTAACGAAACTAGAAACATCAAGTGATCTTATTCAATAAAGAATTAATAATTCAACATAAGTATCAGATAAATATAATAAAATGAATCACATACATAAAACTCAGGAAGTAGAGGGTCTAAAATGTTGGAGTTTGTTCCCTTGATTTGCATAGCTAACTGGATGTCATTCTGGATACTGATACATGATGCAGAAGCTTTTAGTCTCTCTGAGCACTGTATGAACATAATTATAATCAAATTGTTGTATATAGTAATCAAAAGTCAAAAATTATCTGTTGTTGTGATGTATGCAAGTTTCTTTATAGCCTAGGAATTAAATCATTTACTGTTGCTTCATATTACAAAATATTTTTCTTTTTATAAATTATTTGTTATTTTAGATATAAAACGACTAATTGTAAATGTCTATATAATCTATTACATCAGTGGGATGAATATTGGCAAAATGAATTAGCTACAATGTGTTAACCTAGTTTTTGTTTTCTACTACAACCTTTTTAATGAAAAAAGTGTCATTGTCTGATCAACGCTAGATCTACACTTAAGGTAACATTCATCTAGCTATACCTAATTTAGGCTACAGGTCTATTATAAATACGTTAAACTTGTTTTGTCAAAAGTTTTACTGTCTTATAGTTTTTGAACATAACATCTCTAAATGCTACAGACAAATAAAAATCTGATTTTTATATCTGACCATATCAAGAACAAATACCACACCTTTATTAAGTGATACAAAGGTCTTAGTGCAGTATTTGGCAATCCTTAGATTACCCATCAAGGAGTATCCAAATAACTTGTATAGGAGAGAAACTCAACTCATACTCACTTGTACAAGTATTTGTGTCATCTCTTAAGATTAGCATAACTTACCCTAGAGACTCAAAGAGTAGAGACAGTCATACTAGTACATCTCAAATTTCTATAGGTTAGCTATGTTACAAAATAATTTCAAATATATATATATATATGTATACACACACAGAAAACAAATATATATATGAGTATAAATGGCTATTATAGAATTTTTAGTCTGTATATTTCTTATTTTTTAACAATTAAGTTTGATTATTATATGAAATATTTTTCTTGTGTTGTACATGAATAAGTAAACTCTAGATGATTTTAGCTGTTCCCCTTAAGAAAAAAAACCTCTTTGTGATCAACATAAAATACTGGATAAATGTTCACAGCTTTTCAGTATTATCGATGAAGAGAGAGAAACACTCATCATTATTTATAGTATAGCATAACATAACATCTTGGGACAACAAGGGACCAATTGGTCCATCTTAGCTGTCCCATCCTCTAAATCAAATTATTAAATAAATTAATAAAAAAAAACAAATCTTAAAGCTAGCCCTTATCATTCATATGATTATCAGGCTTTCTCTTAAAGTCACTTAAATTTGCTGTCTCCACAACATCTAAAGGCAACTCATTCTAAAGACAAGCACTCAGTTAGAAAAATAAAACTGTCTTAGCTGAAGGTGACTCCTACCTTGCCCAAATTTATATTTGTGTTCCCTAGTCTTACTATTCTCACTGTTAAGTATGACAAAGATGATGCATCAACATTATCAATTCCCTTTACAATCTTAAACACCTCAATCAGATCCCCCACCAACTCTTCTTTTTTTTCAAGAGAAAACAATTTCAAAGACTTTAACCTCTCCTCGTATGACAATCCCTCCATCTCAACCCTTTCCAACAATTCAATGTCCTTCCTAAGGTAAGGAGCCCAAAATTGAACCCAATATTTTAAATGTGGCCTAACTACTTACCTATATGATTAAATTATAACGCATCATCTCATTTCTTAATTGTCACACTAATCATAACTTTATTAGATTCAAGCATCATTTGTCTATTCTTATATTTAAATTACACAATCTAGACCGTTTTAGTCTGATTCACTCCATATTTAAAAGTATAAAAGTAATATATAACATTTTGACTAAAGATATTGTTACAGAGACCTTCTGTTCTAATTTACAATCTTGTTTGTATAAAATATTTCTTTACTTGAACCATCCCAGGGCCTAATGTACTGAGATGAGATATATATTTCTGAGTAAGCTCCTGTAGATGAGATAGTCGTTCCTCTTCCAGATGTTGAAAATGACATGCTGCTCGATATGTGGCTGTCTCTAACTGTTGTCGGGCTCGTTCTGCCTTCAGACAGGAACTGTAGTAATCAAGTTCAACTTTCATGGAAGATTCTGCAGATTTTCTTTTCTTATTTTCTATCTGCAGGAAATTGAAATAAAATGTTTAGAAAATCGAGAGAACAGCATGAAAACAAAATATACTTGAGATTATTTTTAATTATATTTTTCCATATTACAAATGCACAGTTACTTCTTGCAAATATGTCCATCCCTGCATACAACTAGTACTTTTTAAACAGAAGACATATAAGAATGTGATTTTTAATTACAAGTATGAGTATAATGAACAAATTAAAATAAGCAGTAAACCTATTTCAATACTTAGTTTTAATCCATGGCTTATATGTGTAATAATACAGAAAATAATAAGGCTGCAACAAATTTTAGTTATATGTGACTTGACAGAGGGGTATGTATGCTTTCTTTATTAACAATAAATACACATAAAACTCAAAATTTATTATCTAAGACAATCATTTCTACAGTCATCATGATAGTTACTATTAATTTATTTCAAAATACAAAATTGAGCTTTGCCCTAGGTTAGCAATGCATTGTAATTTAAATTTATATCTACAAAGCAATTCCAATATGTGACAGCTAATTCTAACATGTAGAGAAATGTGTCAGTGCTAACAAACAATTCTTGTTGATGAAGCTACACTAATTTTAATGTTACGTTTATTTTAATAATTTGATAAGGTAATTAAATATTAAACAACTACTTAAATATAAATGCTGATATAATCACAGTTTCTGGCTGTTTTAATGCAGTGGTCACATAATTAGTCTTCAACTCTAACACAACAGCAATCTTAAAACTCTCAACAATCAAATGATTAAACTCCTTATAAAAACCAATGTCCAGGAGTTAAGACTTCAATTCTGCTATTTAATGATGATAGAGAGAGTAAACAAATCTGCCTGTCCAGGCCTGTAGACTGGAATTCAAGCATAACATCATATAATACAGTGAATTGAAACCTGTACAGATAATGCAAGACCACATTATATACAATTATTCATTATATCTTGTCTGCTAAAAATGACATATATATTATATAAAAGAAAGAAATACACCTTTTCCAGTACAAGTGGCACAGATTTGTTTCTGTCACCTTTCTTTCTTACACCTAGGCCCAACACACATGATAAATCAATAAAATGAAACATCCAGTAAATGTGCATTTGTGTCACCTTTGTAATTTACAGCCCAACCTTAAACGAACATGCTCTTCTACAAAACTCTTTAAAAAATAGTGAGGATTTAGAAATGAGGATTTCAAAGTCTATAACTGATCATTAAAACTGCACTAGTATGTGTAAGGTATTCATTAACTTTATTATTCATTGATGACAAGTGTTATTATTTAACTTGAAATCAATGACTTATAGAATGTTATAAAATAAAACTAACCTTCACAATATCTTTCTCTGAAACTGATCTACCTTGAACAACTTTACTGTCAGCCATTTGATCTTGTATTCTCTCATTTTCTTTAGCAAAAGAATGATGTTGTTTCTTCATCTTTTGCTCTTCATTGCGTTTTTCTGATAGATATTTTGAGCTTCTCTCAACCATAGATTCCACCTGCAATAACAAAAGTTAAGCAATTACTATCATATATATATATATTTCATTTTTACTTTTTAATTTGAACATAGAAAATATTATATGGTACTAATCTGAAGAAGAGACAAACTGAATCCAGGTGAGACTGCTCCCACTTTTCACTTCCTCGAGTTAATTCTTAACACCAGAGGCATCACTAGGTACTTAAAAGATTTGGAGCTCAGGCCCAGAACTCACAATAATTTTTGGTGTTTCAGCATGATATTTCATGCTTTTCTATGGTTTTCTATTCTATTCTATCATGGTTTTCTATTCCAATTTTTATGAGCACCATATGGATTTGGGGCACAGGACCTATGTGCCAGTGCCGCCTCTGTTTGACTCCACAAAACAGTATGCCATCTTTAATGTTTCTAATTATTCACAATGCCAAGTACAAGTGTTTCTTAACTATTTATTCTAATAATGTTAAAGCAAACAATATTTGTATTTAAATAGTATGGTATCAGAATGCTTCTCATAACTCTTCATTCATTTTTTCAATTTCCCTACTTAGAAACTTAACTAGATGTGTTAGAAAAAAGGAGGAAGTGTCCACATGGCTTAACTCTACAGCTGCCTTAAGTACACTATATTTATCTGGAAACTTCATATTAATTAGTTGAAAGATTACCAAATAACTATGGGCAGCTACAGATACAACAGGAGCCCTATTTCAGATTTCAATAAGGGTGGGCCAATTTTTATTGTTGGTCCAGGTCACTTTGGGAGCATTTGCTATGATTATTTCCCATATTAACTAATAGCCATTCAAACAGTGCAAACTACAAATATATTGTTCCAAGGTAAATAATTGATATTAAGTACTGGAAAGGAGTTGGGTGGTGGGGGCTTACTCTACCAAATTAGCATCCCTGAGATATACAGAAGCTAAAAGAGACAAGTACAAATACTTACAAGTTTTTTTGTTTTATGTTGACATTCCACTAAAGTTTTAAGTGGCTTTACAGCTTCTTCTTTCAATCCTACTGCAAAATTTCTGTAAAAAAAGTTATGATGAAAAAAATAAAATACATAATATATATAGCTAGGACTACAGAAATAGAAAAGTAAAGTTAATTATAAAATTGTGAGCTTGTACCTATCATTTATTTCTAGAGTGAAAGTTGAAACATGTAAAAACTGAAACTCATTCTCACTTCACAAGTCAAGTGTACAACTCAAAATAAACAGTAGTACACATACCAACTGTTTGTCAAACCCTGGTGAACTTAAAAGGCCTTACCAATTCTCCAAGAGGCATAGCTTTAGCACCTCTGAAAGAGCATTTCCTTAATTATTCATGAATTTATAAAAACAAATCACTTTTAGCTTTATAGGATACAAGCTAGATGAAATAAAAACCCATTTGTAACAAAGAACGGGAAATTGTGCTTCTATTTTTTTTCTTAATAAACATTAAAAGTGCAATAAAAATACATAAAGGTATTAATACTGAAAATAACGACATACTGTTTTCAAGAATTCTAACAATAGTGGTTAGATAGTTCATTCTAATGCTGATGGAAATACAACATTGGTAGATTCTCTGAAATTAGATGGGGGGAGGGGGTCTACCCACACATCCCATGACTTTCCTCATGTCATCCAATATCACTGTGTCAAGTTTGGTGCTAATTGAGCAAGAAATGTGGAAACATATAAGGAAAAGATACACACACACACACATACATATTGAAGTTTATTTATATAGATGATATAAATTTTTTGTAGTAATTTGCACAAACCAAAGTTAAACATAGTCTATTAGGTATATGTATATAGGTATGTACTGAAATTTTCTTACATCACAGTTGTTATATATGACACTGATAGCTCTACATCAATAGAACCATGAAATGTTGGTTGTCACAACTTACTTTGAAAGTTAGGACTCATTTGTGAGACACAAAAGTCTGTTATAAACTACCAAAGTATTTGATAAAGATTAATGGTAATATGTATATTAAAATAAAAATATGAATGTGATCTCACAAACGTATATGAACATTCCATAAAGTTATTCATGAGTGTTATATAACATGAATAAATCAGTTATACAAATAACAAAACAGTAAGCAACAAAGGCATGAAGACAAAAGATTTGATAATGGTGTTGAAGACTAATGAGTATGAGGTTAACTGTGATAACTAACTTGAAATATGTCTTTGGAAAGTACAATGAGCCTGTAATTCAACTTAATGTTAGACAGAGAATGTTTCAGTTTTGACGTTGAAATATTTGACAGGTAATGAGTTTTCTTGGAAAACATCAAAGTAACAAGGAGGCTCACACTACATCTAAGAGAAAACAAAGTTTTACCTGGGGCTTTTCTTAACACAATTCTATCTGATGTTTGTCATAATAAGTAGTAAAAGATATTTCAATTGTATCAAGTTGAAATATTCATGAGTAGGTAAACTTATCAGCAGTAAATGAACTTTACAGACAGTAGCCTAAATGCCATAACAAACATAAATATTGTGCACCTAGTGTTTTATTTGGTTGTGATACAATTATCAGTCGTGTAGGTTGAAATATGATTAATAACGTATTTGAACAAGTTGATCCATCTGAGGTATAGCTACTACAGTTATCATTGCAGGCATTTTCCTCTCTAATGACTGGCTCAAAGATATTACTTTATACCAAGTCATGACAAAGACTGAATCTGTTAAGGCAAGGATGTCCCTTATGCCCAGGTGGTGCCTCATTGCTTTGTTTGGAAGTCCCAACATGAGCTTATTTACAAGGATGTTCTCTTGATTTGCTATTACCATTGCATGGTAGGCCTTATAACGCAATTAGCACAAACAATCCACATAAAAGGCCAGACAATCAATTTCAGTCCTTTTCTGAGCCTTGAACTCTGCCCAATTAATCATCCAACTTAGATAAAAACTAGAGATTCAGCTAACATGCCAATAATGATGTAATAATTAATGCTAAATGTTTTACTAACTGAGTTGTGGTATTAAATGGAATAATACTGAATACAGTAAAATGCAAAATGAACAATACTTGTTTTAACACTAAACACAAATAGTATATATTAGGGATTTAGAATTTCCAAGACAGGGATATCCCTTGTACTTGATAGCATTGAATAATAAAGGAATATAGATCAAGTTAGGGAACCAGAACCATCCAGAAAGAGAAATGCAGCAACTTGCACTCCAGCCAAGGTAAGCAAATTCTGGTGCCTTGTAACAGGTGAGAATCCACGAATACACAGGTCAATGGCAAAAGTTGTCCAAGTGTCGGAAGCAACAGTACACAACATGATAAAGAAGGATTTCCATCTGGAAAAAGATACACAAGTCATGTGTACACAAGTTTTTTCTATAACATATTTGTCCAACTGCTGTATACCGCAAGCAAATGGAAAATGACACAGGTATTCATGCTATGGATTTCTTTGTGATTGTACTGTTGAAATTAGTGCTCGGGGTGGGGGAACCATCGTCCTCTTACAGTAGATGGATTATGGATACTATTAGGGAGTAACAGTGTCATTTTTTACAAGACAGCGTTACGACGGCACCTTTTGCAATGGAAACTACGCTGCAGGGCTATAGACATGATACACGGCCGTTAGGCACAGCATGACCTTACCTGACAGTATGGACTGCAACAACGTGATGAGGCTCCAAATTTGTTTTAATATAACGTACTCAACTTCTGTATACATATTAACTTGCAGTTGCAAGTACTTCTTTTATAAATAAACTAATTACATTATTAGTCACTTATTCACTATTTGTTAAATATTTTATATTAACAATAATTAGTAAATTTTGTCAAAATCAGTATTCTCATTGTAACGAGAAGGCCATTCGGTCGTCATATATAGATATCAAAAATTTTTTCTTCATGCTTAGTTCTCGTACATAGAGAACTGACTCATCATGTTTCAGCAGTGAAGCAAAGGCAGGAAGTTTTTCCTTTTTTTTATATTTAGTTTGCTACTTCAGACAGCAACGTGTGCAAACTAGGTCAACCTTTTATAATACTGAGAAGAAAAAAAAGGAGATATTCCTACACTAAAGACGTAAACAAATCTGACATCTAATTCGTGGCTGGTTGTATAATCACTGGAAAAAGAACGACAAGTGTAAAATAGTAATATCACACTGAGGAGACTACAAAGAAAAGCTGAGAGCATAACTATAATATGTTTGAGTGAAACAAATGAAGATGTAAATGATTACACGAGGTGCAGAGTTACATCGTTATTTCAGTAAAAAAACTCAACTAAAATCAAAAGAGAGCAATTATCTATAACAATACATATTCGAATAACCTATATGTACTCCTACCTGGAAAGAAAACAAATGAAATAGCTGAAAAGGTCCAGGTTAACCGACGTTGGCACAGCAGATGTGTAGTAGAAGTTGGTTTACACTGTCTTATCCATTTTTGTTAGCAGAAAGTAAGGGAATACATAAAATAACTTTGAGGGTATTCTCGTATCTGACGTGCGTATATTAACACTTACGAATTAGCAAAATTAAGAGTTATCCTAGTATCCATCATCATGTTTAGTAACCTTTACTATCACCTAACTCTAATTATTAATTAGCCAATGTTCTTTCTTTTTCAAGAATGGCATATCAGTCTTTCTAAGAGGAAGACCCAAAAACTACCACTATAAATACAGTCCTTCTCGGGTCTTCTTGAAACCAAACGTAGCATATAAACTAGTTTGCAATTAGTTTCTAGTATTAAACATTAGTATACAAGTTACTAACCAAAACAACAATTAATTTATATATATATATATACACACACACACACACACATATTTGCTTGTAAACTTGGCAAATACAAGATTCAGGGGACAAGCCTTTTGCGAGTTTTTGCTTGTTCTGGATAAAGATCCACAACTTTTCATGGCAAGACTTTTGAACGTGTGATAAATGTTTGTATCTAGGTTCACATTATGAGTGCATAGAAATTATAATAAATAGTTTATTTACTCACCAATCTTAAACAAAATAAAATAATACAGATATGATTATAAATAACAAATGAAATCTGTCCTAACAGGCCATTTTAGTATGAGAGATAAAGTTTCGTATTCCAAGTAACAGAAAATTACAGAGGTGGCTCAAGCGTCTTATGTTTTTGTTCAGCATTTTCTGAATTTATTTAATAAGCGTTTTTTCTTTGTTTGTTTGGTGTTGTTTTTTTCAAGTAGCGGCAAGAAGAAAGCCCCATTATCAGACATCGATGTATTTAGGATATAAATATTCACGGATGCGTAATAGTCCCCTCGAAGGCCAAGGTTGAACCTGAAGGATGGCTGACTATGGATCAGAAAATGTGGGCGTTACTTGCCAGCAGTAACCTGCTTGTAACCTGTGCACTAACAGTCATCTGGCTAAGTCCCAGTACTGGTATGACGGGTTTGAACATACAATACGTAGGAGTCGGAAACTGAGTAACATAAGACATCATGGTAAACCACCACCCTATGGTATTTAATTCATAGTCATTATTAATGATAATTTTCAAAATTAGATTAAGTAATCAAGCTCCAGAAAATCAATTTTATGTTAAATCTTTTAGATACTCTCTAATGGTATTGAACCTACGCTAAATTGGGACACAATATTATATCATAAGACGTTTATTTTCTTCTCATTTAGAAAATTATGAGTAACTATATACTCCAATGAGCATTAGATCTAAATAAATAATATTATTTTGTCTGTTTATGATCGATTTTTTACGTGAAGTGTGGAAATTTCACATTTTATATAATACGTAAATTTGGTCTACGTGCTATCATCATTCCCCGCTTTCATCCACAGATGAACTAATAAAATATGTTTATTGTATTAAAAAACCGCAGAGCTTGTTAATCTTACAACATATGTTTTTCAAACAAATCTGATGTATTATATCTTTAAAGACATTCCGTGCAATCACACTTCCATCTTTCCTGTTGTATTCAAATACAAACTATTGAGACCATTTTTGATCTGGTGGCCAGA